GACTCCCTTCGTAGCAGAGAGAGCTGCGGGGAGCTCTTAGGAGCCAAAAGCTCAGTCTTAGCCACTCTGCAAAAGCATCTCCATGCCAAAAGCATGTCTCAAGAGCACTTTTAAGAGAGCAGTTAATATCCAAGCTTATGTTTCAGGAGGGGGCAGGGCACCAGCAAAGAGCGCTGACATTGAGCTATGGCTTCAACAGTTGATCGAAACAGTTTAATGCATTTCCATTTCCAGTTGCATGGATCCAGCAATGTTTCTTACTTATTTACAGTATCACCCCSTCCCCTGCTCCCAGCTCTTGTGTTTGCTACACAGATAACAGGGGAAATTGATGCTGACTATCGTCTGCCTGATGCACAGCACTGCCAATGGATTCAGCAGGATTTTAAAGAGGAATGAGTCAACAGTGTGTGACCAGGAATAACATTTGCCAGTGTGTGAGCTTGAATAGGAAAACATATCTGTGCCCACCTGAACATTAGTTAAAGTGACAATGGCAACAGATGCCCCAGCAGGACGTGTTCTGGCAGTTTTCCAGGTCAGGGCAGAGCCAGACCTGCTCGTCACCAGCCCTATGGCAATGCCTATGTCTAGGACTGTAGATGGCCCCTGAAGTCCTGRCAACCATCCCTCCAAAGGGAACGTCAGTCTGCTTTTGTGATAACACCTAGCCTTCACTATGCTTTGAAGATAAAGCACAAGAACCCACCTGCTGCCTAATGTGGCAGAACTTTGTCCTAGGGCAATAAGTGTAATCCTTTAGAGATCAATCCCAGCTGATTGTGRGCTATTACTTTAGATCCAGAAGAGGTAAAATTCACAGGCCATGTTATTGCAGGGCAGGAGATACTCAGKTTAATTCCTTTTCTAGTCTTTCTTCCTGCAAAGATTTCACCTGCTGTGTGATCCCAACACAGAAAACAGGGCTATCCAAGTCAGTCCTATATAAATTACCCCATTTACCTCTGCTCTTCTTTCACTAGGAAYCCAGAGACACCAAAACCTCTGCCAAAGGCAAAAATGGCAGCAGCAAAAGTTTGCTTATCTCATCTTCAAAACTTGGTGAACTAATTAACAACTCTCAAGAGAGAAGATAGATGCTCTTCTACCAGGCTTTGGTGGTTACCAATGGAGAACCCATTCAGATGATCAAGCATGGGCTTAAGACAACAAGTAATGAGCGCTGTGAGGAGGATAAACATCTGCAGGAAAACACGGGAGTGGATGTAYTGAGGATCAGATGGGATGAGGAATGCAGGGCTGAACTGGACTTGGATGGAGCTGTCCAGCAGTTTATGTCATGYTGTCCAGGACTGGCAAGGCATCAGAGCTGACACAAAATTATTCAAGCAGGATAAAGTAAAACGTATCATAAAACACATATCATAAATCCCATAAAACCATTTTCATCATACTGTTTTATGAGGCTTTAACAGAGCAAATGTCATATTCACTGTGGTACTACAATCATCTCAAGGGCTACCTCTAGCAACAGCCAGTTAGAGTCACTACYAACTTTTGTAATTCCTGGAAATTGTTTTGATCAGTCTTTCAGGACACATGGCTAATACCTTTTTTCAATTTGTTCTTATGTACTTGCTAAATTTGTATTCAAGAGCGTCCTTTTCACWAACCCACACCTATACTCTTTTTTTGCTCTTTTCATACATATCAGCACAAATGACACTATTGTGCTCCAAAACTCAGACTACTGCACATTTTCAAGCTCTATGTGTGTTTTACAGGCTTTCACTAGTTCCCCTACACAGGGTGACCCAGCCCTGATTTTAAACCCAACTCTGCAGAGGATTCATTTTTCTGCTCAGATTTTCTCAAGTGAGTACCCAGTCCTTGACAACAGCATCAGTGAGAGTCGTGATATTATTAACAATATTCTGCCACTCTATTAATATTTTTATTTCAAGACTTCAAAGTGTTATGTTTATTATACCCCACAAATCCTTGATGACRTGGGTCAGTTTGATTCCTGCTTTGAAGATACAGGAAAAGATGACAAGAYATTACCAATCCAAGTGGTAGATTCCCAGGAGTTCTGACAAGCCCAATCTCTCACTCTAAACATTAYACAACATTTCTTCATCTTAAACACAGAACTATAAGACTGCAAGGACTTCCATAAACTTATTAATCTTTCAAAGCTTTACACTACAGACCATGAAGTCCAGGCAACAATTCATCCATTCTKTCAGAGAGCTGTCAGATAGACAATTACAGCTCATAAGCTAAAAGAAAAGCAACTTTCTCTTCTTTCTAAACACAAAAAAATGCTAAAAAGTCCAGACACCTTTTCTGACAGCTGACTTGTTCTTTTTGTCTTCTTACTCTCTTTCCACTATTGCAGAGCAGTAGGAAAAGCCTATTTCTGCACTAGTTTGTTACACTACAGCACCATATACATGAGGGTGAAGGGAGAAAACCAAGGGAAAAGGGAAAYACAGAAACAGGTTCTGACATCTAATCAGATCCACTGTATTGATTTTGCAACTTTAGCTTTGGAGCAAATCAGAGAAACAGCCACATTACCATCCAGGATCCGCTGTTCCCCGGAGCGAGGCGGTTCAGGAGGAGCTCCCGGCGCCGCACAAACAGGCCAGCCTGCATGCGCACACACGCGCGCGGCCCATGGATGCACATCCCTCCGGAGCGGCTCTCCAGTGGGATGCGCGGGCTGGGGGACGTGACACCAGCGTTCATCACGGAGGCTGCAGGAGCCACACGATCCCCATTTCCAGCAAGATGAAAATTCCAGAGCAAGGCACCGGACTAATGAGCTGCCCACGATGGAAAGCTGTGTTTCAATTAACCACAGCAGCCCTCGTCGCAGCACCCACATCCTTCCAGCAGCGTGAACAAGGAGATGGATAAACAGAGACTCTGCTGTTTCTGGGTCTATTTTTTGCATGGAGGGAAAGGGAGGAGGCTGTAAAAGGGATGAGGGCAATTCTTGCCCTAGTTTCTTGGCTTGCAGTTTCTTTTTCATATTAAGGGAAGGAGCAATTGACAGCACTGAAACCAAAGCTGCCTGCTGGGGCACAGAACAGGCAATGCCACTGTAAGATCCTTCCACAATTTCCAGGCAGGATGAGACAGCTCAGGCGTACAGTCAGGATGCACCCAGCTTCAACTAAGGACACCTGGAACTGRCTGACAATGAGAGAGAGTGGGCTGGAACATGAACCATGCCACCTTTACTTGAGATCACCATAAAGCATTGCTTGGGCATGGGAAGAGCTTTAGGAAAGGTATATTCAACTATTCTTTACACGGGAGTTCATCACATCTTTGCTTTCTCGAGGGTCAYACCCAAGTCTCTGCCCAGACAGTTTCTGGCTTGCACCTACCACCTTTCTGTGTGGGGAGTCATGTCCTCCCCCTTCAGCCCAGGATTCAGGGCCGTGATCCCCCTCCAGACCACCCAGTCAGACTGAGCTCATCCCAAGCTCGGCACTGCTGCTCCCTCTGCAGGGGCAGTGAGGGTCAAGCGAAGCCCACACGGCTTTCAAACAGTAACACCAAACTCGGGACACCAGCAGGTTGGATGGTTCTTTGCTCCCAAGTGAAATTTTGCCATATATCTCAACACCTCTTGATGTGACCAAGAGCTACCTTCCCTCCATGCCCCTCCAAGCCCCACATGACTGACCCAGCCTGCCTTCCTGAACAGTTCAAACCAAGATGCAYGTTTTCACCCTGCTTAAGGGAAGCTTCTCCCCACACACCTACCTGCATGGAAATCTTCACACATTTCCCTGTCTCATCCTGTAATCTAATCCTGCCATACTCTGAACATAGGTAATTTTAAAAGGGGCTCTTCAAATACTCTAAGTGCCTGCAGGATTTCTCACACCTCTGTTACTGCTGTGCTTCCAGCAGTTCACATCTGTGAGCAGTTTGCGTGCTTGGTTTCAGCCAGGTTGTCTGCTTTGGTCTCACTCCCCGTATTCCTGGGGAGCRAGCCTGGAAGCAGTGTGGCAGCATGTCTAATGAGTGCTGCTGTGCTGTGTCTGGAGGCTCGTCAGTCATAGACCATAGGCAGCATGCCCAGGTGTAAATTAACCTGTGCCCTGCCTGCCCCACACCGCTCAGAGTACTCTGTGAGCATTCAACAATCGCATCATCCTGATGCGAATAGATCTGCAGGGAGACCCACGCCTACAGTCACAGCTCCTTCCAGACAGASGCATTTCACCCAGCTGCCTTCCCCCAGCTGATCTGAAGTCTTGTAAGAGAGAGAGCACAGACTCCTGCACGCCAAAACACACCTCAACAGTGCGGGAGCTGAGCAGGCACTCACTGCTCTGGAGGGAGAAACCACTGCAGGGGAAGCACGGAGATGTCACCCAATGCAGCGTCCCTCCCTCTGCGCTCACCTTTGTGCACACACACTGCCTCCAAGYGGGGCTGGGAGCACCACCCATAGCTGGAATCACCCCACACACCACACCTGCTAAGAATCAGTTTTCTGTTACAGCCTGGTTCCATGAAAACCATTTGGGAGGATACGCTCCTCATTAGGTCTGCCTGGCACTGCTTTTCAGGGAGAATGATTCAGGCATATCCAGGGGTAAGTAAATTGAAGAAAGGGTTGTGGTGTGGAAATGGTCTAAATAACATTCACTTGCTGCCTTCTGACTGCTGGACTTTACAAACTTACTAACATACTCTGAAGGTACTTTACGCACATGTAAAGCACATAAACACACCTCGTAAAGCTGCACTCATCCTCTGACACAGAAATAGAAACCATTGCACAAACACACACACCACCTCTCCCTTCCACTTGCAACATGCTTGCCATCTGGTACCCTGCCCTTAGCCCTGTGTAGCCTGACCAATTAAAGATGAACTGCTCAAAAGTCCCCACACAAAAGAGATGTGTCTGCCCAGCCCAGTAAGAAAGGTCAGCTCTGCTTAGCCCCCAGGCTTGTGTGTAYACARACATTCAGGCAGGCACTCCAGAACMGTAGGGTTCTACTCACACTGCACGTTGAGCTGCACCAGCGCTTCCCGGGGTCTGATGTTAAAGCCATTGTACCTGGCTGTCTGACACTTATAGGTCCCRCTCATTTCTCGGCTCACACTCTCCAGGTGCAGCTTCCCATCGTATGTCTCCATTGTCATTGTCCCTGAAGGCATGGGAGTTTCCTTATCCACCCGGGACCAGATGATGGGTGGCTTTGGCTTTCCTCGAACCTCGCACTGCAGCTCGGCCCTGGAGCCTTCCCGCACGGTGATGGTGGACTGACCCTTAGGGACACTGATTGTTGGTGGCACTAAAACGGAGACAAGAAAGGAGTTATTTTACACTGGGTTTTCAGTAAGTAAGGAATATCCTTCAGATGCTTCTGAGTCAAACGAACAGCCTCAAACTCCAAAGGTTTCCCACTGACACACTGCAACCCCTCTAAAAACACAGTGTCCATGCAATTTATCCTACAGGGTCTGGAGCTGCAAGGTACCACGGAGAATCCCAGCCTTTCCAACAATGGATCCCAGCATCAATGGCAAGTGACAGTTGTATTGGGGCACACTCCAGGCTCCCATCCCTGTTTCCAAAATGTTATCCAGAAGCAAGGATAGCCATCAAGGAACACAAAGGCAAAAGCCTCTTTGACCCATTTCTCAATTTCTGGTCAGTGAATTTCTCAAGTGGAATTGCAGTCTTTTGGCCAAGAAATAGAAGTTATATCTCCCGAGGTATCTAGTCCCCTTATCCAGGTCAGACCAAACCCGAGACTTAAAGGTCATTGCTTGTAGATCCCATCTCCAGCCKTCTCAGAGGTCCAAGATCCCTGTTTGTTCCTAAACCACAGCAAGGAGTCAGCTCTGTGAAGCRTCTTTGCTTATTTTACTTTTATCGSGTATTTTACTTTTATTATCTATTTTGCTTTTATTGGTGAATGCACTGTGAATTTCTCACACCAATAAACCTCTGGCTCATTTGAGAGAGATTGGTCACAGCAATGGTCACTTGCTGAATTCCCAGCAGAATTGCTGCTGAGCTGAGGCTAGAGTTGGAGGCATATAACACTCAAAGAAAGATCCAGCTATCAACTGACAAACTAAACTTTACTGATAAAGCTCAAAAGAAATGCAGTCCAGTGTTTTACAGGGTACAGGGATGTCAGTGGGAAGAGATTTGCTCTTCACATCCCCAACTCCACCAATAACCTAGGAAGGGTATTCTTGTGCTAAACCACATGCAATATTGACAATTTATTTTTGTTAGACTTTCGAGTCAACAGTTCAGCTGAGGTAAATATGGCCRCAATCTTTTCTGAAAGCTCCTTTTTCAGCCTTTCCTGCTGACAGTGGTAACACTTGGATTGACACTTCCATAACTGCAAGGGCCATGCACTTCGTTTCCATTTAAATCAAACTATAGGACTACAGAAGCTGTAACAAGCTGGTCTGACCAACATTAGCTCAATTCAGCTCCRGCAAAGGACAGCGTGCTTCGGTAATTGTGCATGTTACAGCCTGCAGCTCTTTGTGAGCTAATTTAGGATGGATCCAGCCTAATCTCCCTCTGCAGTGACCTCCCTATGCAACAGGGCAGCCACATTTTTAATTTGCAGGTCTCCTGTGGGCTGGGGAATCTCATCACACCCTGTCCTGCACGGTGTGAAGGGAGAGCAGCACTTTCAGTGCTGACGCTGCCGGCAGCCGCTCACCTGGCGAGCAGCAATTTTCTCCACAGGAAAAGCTGTAAATTGCATTTGAAGATTTTTTTTTTAAATTAAAGCTATTTTCTCAGAACTGCTTAGTAGAGACAGCCACTTTGACAAGCTCAGGCTTTGCTCAGTGGGGAAACATGGAGCCACTGCTGCTGTCCTCTTGCTCTGATCCTGTGGTCTGGGGAAAACCTGGTGTTTCATATGGGAATCACATGTCAGCCATGGCTCGTTGCTGTTTGTGGGGATGCTGCATATTGGATAATCTCTGCTGCTGCATGGAGGGCTGCTCCAGCAGGGATGGCTGCTCTCATTCCCTGAGACACAAAATGGTCCCACTGGCCCAGGCTGCCAAAGAGAGTCTTCTAACGCCCCAGGCTGCCCTCCTTCCCTTCCTCATTGGCAGCATCCACATGAGCATATGGGACTCGCTCTCCTCCAGACAGGCACAGGGCAACTTGTCACTGCAGACACCTCCTTTAAGGCACAACTGGCTGGTGCTTGGACCAATACCTGCAGTGACAGACACTGCCAAGCCTCTTGGCGGGGTCATMCAGGGCCTCCCAGCCCTTCACAGCCTCCTGCCCTTGCAGTCTTAAACACATCTGCATTCTGCCGTCTAATGATCTTGGGCAAAAAGGATTGTTCCAGCTGGTAGCAGCCACAGGAGGATGGGAGGGCCAGTTCTGCACCAGGATCATGGAGTTCCCCTGACTTTGTTCCCTGTTGGTATGACAGGGCTGGTGTCAGTTGGCATATGGAGAGGCTCCCACCTTCCACTGTGCCCAGAGAAAGGAAGGMTCATTCTTCAGTGTTTAGTGCCCATGGCATGGTCAGGACTCAATCTCCAGGCTGTTAATGAGCACTGGATGAAGTCCTATTGGGAGCAGGCTGGCCCCAGTGTTTCTGATGGAACAGCACAGGTTCCCAAAGCATCCAAAGCAGTTGCAGCACTTTTTGCTGGCAAGCTGAACTGAGCAGCATCCAGAATCGAGACTGGGATCAGCCTGGCCTATGGATCYAGCACAACCAGGGACTGAGAAGAAACCTTCTGTGAAGGTGCAGGTCAAAATCTATGGGCAGTCRACTCCTGTGAGGAGTCTTCCATCAGATTACTAACCCAGTGCTGCTCTGTGCTGTACCCTCATGGTCCTGGAAAGGCAGCACAAGGACATGGATTTAATGGAGAGCACAGATGGACCCACCACTTCCCCAGAAACAGAAAGACAGTCCTGAGACTCGGTATGTCAGTCCYCAAAGTGACTGACAAACACTGACACATTGGTCCTGTCCTCACCAAGCCATGGGGTGAAGCTTTGACCTGGATTTTAAGGGGGGAGGCATTTTTAACAGTGGGACCCCTACAGAGAGTGCCCAAGACAGACTGCATTTGCAATCCAGTAAACACCAAAACTCTTCACAGAATTTGCCATGACAGATGACACCAGTATCCTGGACACAACTCTGAAAAATGGTACATTCCTCAAAAACAATGCCAAAAAGAAGAAAYAGCAGCTTTCTTTTTCACTTACTCCCTTCCATGCAAAGAGACACTTGAAATTTGCTGAAATACCACCMCTTCTCCCTTCCTTCACAGTGTAGAGGTCTCTTTGAACAATCACACTGTAGAGCTGTCTCTGTGGCTACGACTGGAGTGGATTGTACTTCAGACTTTTCAAAGASAGAAAACATAAAGCGAGATCTTCTAGGTGCATCACACATCTGGCAGAGAAGTTGTAACAATCACCCATCTCCACTCTCAGCCAAGCGCTTGCCTGAGGATGGAAGACCTTTCTCTACTGGCATTCAAGACATKAGTGTGAGGTTCTCAAAAAAAGCCAGAGGCATGGGGATGTGGGGCAGCGAGGGACACCAAACACACCCCTGAGGTCCCCACCTGCCACAGGGTGTCTCACCTGTCTCTGAGGAGATGTTCACCTCCACGCTGAGGTCAGGAATGGGCGCTCCCTGGAAGGTAGCCATGCACAGGTAGGTGCCATAGTCACTGAATCTCAGGTCAATGATCTCCAAGCTGCAGGTCACAGGGGGCAGCTCGGGGTCATTGCGGGTGATGAGYAGCCGGTCTGAGAACCTGGCTGGTTTCCCATTTTTGTACCAGGAATAGACAACCTTCTCCTGGGGGACAGCATCTACATGGCATGAGAGCTTCAAGTCCTGGCCTAACTGGATGGTCTCGCTCTCTTTGATCACATCAGGGGTGATCTGGAATGTGGCATTCTTCATGGCTGAGATGAACAGAAGTGAAAAATGGGTTAGGGATAGAAAAGTATATGGGACAGGAAAGTTATGGGACAGGAATACAGTTCTTTGCTCCTCAGGAAGGCAACATTTCCATGCAAAATCTGCCCAAAGACCTCTCCCACTTTCATTCCCACAAAATGTCCCAATGTCCCAAAATGTTCCCCTCAATCTGGCAGTCTGGGATCGTTCTCCAGTCTAGGATCATGCTCCAGCCCAGGATGAAGCTGCAGGCAGTGCTTGCACAGCCCCAGGTCTGGGAACAGAGAAACTTGCMCAGGCACTTCTCCAGAATATTAATTACTACTAAATATCACATTCGCCCTCAGCTGTACAAGAACAGCCAGGAGGAATGCAATTCCCCTGCTCCCCGAAAACACATGCTCTGGGAAAAACAGCGACTTACACCGCACCAGCAGGTTCACAATCTTCTTTGCCGGGTTGCCCACGTTGTTGATGGCCGTGCAGTTGTAGTAGCCCGAGTCCTCCACACGGATCCTCCAGATGGTGAGGTTGCCTCCCTGCACAAGGCTGTTGGGAGGCATTGGGCCAGGAGAGTGAGACCAAACCACTTCTGGCTGTGGGTCACCGCCCGTCAGAGAGCACTGCATAGTGACGTTGTCACCAGGGTTGACCACCAGTGTCTCATTGACAGACAGCTTCAGAGCAGGTGGGGCTGGAAAAGCACAAAGAGGGACACTTCTGAGCTTGGAAAAGAACCATCCACCTGCCTGTGCACAGCTTCATAGTTTTTATGGTTTGTTCTTGATGATGGCTGGTTTGAGTGGAAACAGCTAGAAGGATCTATGAATGATTACAAATACAAGATGTTTATGAATCTAAAGCATGATCGTTACCACACCTGTAAGTACAAACACTCTGCTCTCTTATGGCCAGGAAACAGTACAGGCAGGGCCTCCCACTACCCCAAAAAACACTCCACCAGCAGTGCTTAGGACTGGGGCACAAAGTAGCTATGGCATTTTATCAATGAGCAGTGCAGGCTCTCTCTGGCTTAGGATGCAGAKGAGAAGAAAAACCTGTTAAACCCACTCTGCACATACAGGGGTGGCAAACAGAAAACATCAGGCAGTGAAAAACCCAAGCCTTGAAGTTTCTTTACTCCTGATGCAAACAGCTGARCCAGGTATCAGGGCAGTGGAAGCCTTTGTAGCCTTGATGGAGGGGTGGAGGGGTGAAGGAGAAAGGATGGGCTCAGAGAAGCCTGCTGGAATCCAACCACTGCTCAAGRCCAGCTAGGATTTAACTCCTCTCATTCAGAGTTTCCATCCTAAGGAGGGAGTTTTAGGGAARGTTTATCATTAAGAAAAGCTATCCTCAGATATCCCATGACATTCCTCTCTATATCTCACACCCCGCTAGACAACTTTAAGAGGCAAAGGCTTTGCCAGGCAGCTAGAGACTGTTTACAGCTTAGTCCTTGCAGCTCAGAGACTGTTATGGAGGACCAGGACCTGTCTACACCATAAAAGACCATGAACAGCAGCTCTGAACCTTCTCTTAATCTCTTTCACCTCCTCAGGTGTCTAATAGGCTTTTCTATACACCTGGGAGCTATCACAATCACAGGGATKCTCTTTCATGTCCAGCTGAGCTGAGACTGATTTGAAGTGTCTAGACAACCTCTCCTTTGAAAGCCCTGGTACCTGTCTTTTTTTTTGTTTTATTTTATTTCTGCACCCTTCTCACTACAGCCCRCTCCAGGAACTAATCCAAAATCCTGCACTTTGTATACTCTATTTCATTCCATGAAAAGTCTTTCAAAGCCTCCACCAGCACCATCACTGGCTCCATCCACACAGAGCTAAGAAAGTAGCAGTCCCCAGCACAAAAGCAGGGAGTATGTTTTAAGTAACAGCCATAATAATGCAAAATAACACATTGTTCCATATTCATGAAGCCTGATTTAACAGCATCATTATTTCTGCCTCTTCTCTCCCTGGACCCTGTGTTAATGAGCTGTGCTGGATTTGTGTTGGATCTCTGAATTACAGCCCATACAAACAAGGCGAGGAGGTATTCTCTCCTCAGCACAAGTGCCATAATTTAGTAGCACCACTACTGCCACACTGGATATTGCTTTGGTGCACTGAATATAATGTCCTCCCTGGCCACTGCACATGCTATTTGTGTCAGAGATGGCCACTTAGGCTAAGGAAGAAGGGGGCTCTTCCAAATGGCTACCTCCACTGGCCATTTTGAGGTCAGTGGTTGGAGCCTTTAAATTTTGGGAGGCCACAGACTGCACTCAGAGTGACTTTGACAGGTCACTTTGAGGAAATCTTATAAACAGTGTGCAAGGGTTAATGCATATGAAATGGTAAAAGAAGGATTTGTACATCCTCACCAAGCTCCAGGTGGTTTCATGAGATATATGAAGCCCCGAAGCTGACACCAAACAGCTGTGTCTGCCCTCTGACACCAAACTGGTCTCAGGTTCACAGCGCACAAACTGACAGATGCAACAGCTTGCCTGGGAATCTCCATGCATCCCTGTCAGAGGCAACCTGAGACCAGCCTAAGTCCACAGAGAAAGTGTCAGAGCCTAGACCAGAGGTCCTGCAGTCTCTTGCAGATTTTGGGTTGATGTGCACCTATCTGGCCCACGCTCACCTTGCCCAGCTGTGGGCAAGGACACGTGTTAAAAGGTGACACGCTGATGCAAGCCCTGCATCAGGGCAGGCTGTGTGCATGCATGGGAGGCAGGGGAACCCCAAACCTGCCACCTGCACAGCTCCAGGCAGCAAGCTCCCGTGATGTGCCCCAAAATGGAGCCCTGGCTGTGGCATCCTGCGTGGGCTACACTCCCCACTCCCACTCCTGTCTGCAGACAGAGGTTAACAGACCGCAGACATTGTTATGCAGGAGATGAATCTCATTTATTTGTAACCTGTGGCAATTCCTTTTGTTCTTGGCTCAGGAAACCTGCTGGCGGATTCTGCCGAGCAGCGAGGGGACCATTAAAAACAAAGAATCGCTTTCAATTCCCTTTGAAGTCCAATTTGCTGCAGTAAAACTGCAGGAGAATTAACCAGCTGGGCTGCTTAGTTTTGCAGAAATTGAGGAARGGGGAAACATCAGGCTGACCCTGCTGGAGCAGGAGATGGCAGCCTGCTGCTGAGCTGGTCCTCCTGCTGCTCTGGAGCCAGGCAAGAGCAGCACAACAGAGGAGGAGCRGGGACATCTGCTTCCCACTAAGGGTGCAGACAAAGAACCCATCCCCTGCTGCAAGGCCCAAGCTGCTGGAGAGAGCTCAGGAGAAGCCCATCTCCTTAGCAGAGATTAAGATCTGCCCTAAGGACACTGAGGAGCCAGCTGAGGAACAGCAAATGAGCTGAGAAGGTTCCTCTGCCTGACTTGACCTGACCCACCAATTCACCTCAAGGTCTGTAGTGCTTGGGACTATAAATATTTAAGTGAGAGAAATTTCCAAGCATCTCAGCACCCTTTGGGCCCTTCTCAGTTGTAAAGGCAAAGGCATCCTGAGCGGAGCTGCTCAGGATTCTGGGCACAGCCCAGCCCAGAGAAGCTGTGAAAGCACAGGTGGAAGGGGGACAGAAAATACCTAGGCAAAAAAAAAGGAGATAATTCAAGAATTTAATTTAAATATTTCCTCATCTATGCACAATATTACCTACAGGGCAAGTARCCCATATAATACTTCATGTTAAATATAGTCATGCTATTTAACACAAGCCCTGCTCACACYGCAATGCCAGCTTCATTTTTACTGCCAACTTTTAATACAATTTGCTAAGAACACATTTTCCATGGCCCCTTTGAGCTTGTAGTGCCAGGCTCCACTGTAACTATGTATAAATATGCATCTATAATTAAAAAACAGGGGGAAAACAACCAACTAGATAGATGTKCTTAAGAAGCTGGTGTAAATTAAGCCATATTGCTGACTTCTCATCAGGTACAACCTGAAAATACATTTCCCCCATTCACTTAGTAAAGGGGCTGGATTGAAACAAAGAGTAGTTTCCCAGTGTTTGGGCTGGCAGGGGAAGTGGACATGAAGAGAAATTTGATTTTCTAACTCTTCAAAGGTAAAGGCACACAGGGAAGAAGAGCGGTATAAGATCCCTTTCTTCATCATGAACAGAAGRTAAGTTTTTAAAGGGAATATTTCAACATTTGCTACAGTCTCATCCTGAGAGAAAGTCAGGTAATAGGGTGAGTTGCTGGAGACATGTTCAGAGATCTTACTACAAAGAGAATACTTTTTTTCTGACATTAGCTATAATTCCCTTTCTTAAGCTCATTATTTTTCTTCTTCCTCCATAAAATGAGGCAACTATTGTTCAGCACCTTGGAACTCAAGGCAGATCAATCAACATAATTTAAACAGTATCAACAATATGCCGTCAACAGTTAACAACATCAAAAAAAGTTCTGTTTTCACTGCACAAAGACGACACAAGGGATGCAAACTGCTTTGTGTTACATTAGAGAGGTGAATAATTCAAACAACTACAATGCCTTTCTCTCTGATCATGGAATACCCCAGGGCTGGAAGCAATTTCCTGACATTTACTTATTATTTGCAAATATTCAACACACATGGGGGCTTTGCAGGTGGAGTTTTTTATTGTGTATGTGGTTTTGGTGTGGTTTCATTTTAATAGATTGCAATCCAGTTATTGCCAGTATTTGATACGTGACACTCAGTTTTCATTCACTTATTGCACATCAAGCAAGTGGCATCAGACTGAATCTGCTGCTCACAACAGGAGGAGCTCTCAAGCATTGCCAGTATGAATGTGAGTCCAAAATRTATTTACTGGGAAAGCACTGAAGAAATATGCTTTCCAGAAACACTGGCACCAGTGGAGCCCGTTACCTGGGAGCTGCTCAGAGCACAGCCTGGAAAACCAGGCTGGAGTCACACATGGATGAATTATTTGTAAGAACTCCTGCAGCATTGCCTTGCTCTAGACTGTATCGAATCTATTTTTAAAGTCACTTAGAATTATAAATAAATAAAACAGTCTATGAATTAGAAAATACGTAGTGCTTCAACACCTACACATAGTCTGTTTTAATGATCTCATGGCAGGCCTGGCCAAGGTAGTGGTTGTATGCAGTGCTGCAAGAAACTAGAGCAGCCCTGGCCACAAGACTTCCACGTGGAGGATCTGTAATCCCAGCAGCCATGAAAATGGGGCTGGGGTGGMCAGAGGGCTGTGTTATCCTCCTGGAGCAGTGATGGTTGTGGAGCAGTGAAGGGTCAGCGGGCACCCTTCATGTCCCCCTTACCTGTGGTGTTTGTGAGCTGGAAGGTGATGGATTTGTCAGGGATACTGCAGACATTGCGGACAGACACCTGGCATGTGTAGCTGGCGTAATCCTGAGGCCGAAGGTTCTTCAGCTTCAGGACTTTGGTTTCACCCTGGGATTTTGGAAAAATAAGCGGCGAGAAGAGACGCAGGTGTACAAAGCACAGATCAGCATTCCAAGTCCATAACCTGTCCCAAACTTTACAAATTATTAGGAGCTCCCATGAAAACCATAGAGAACCATGCAGATTTCAAGCCCCCCAGCTCTATAGAAAGGAAACACAAGATGTTTGCAGTGGTAATTTCACCTCCAGGATTCCTCAAAACACGCAGCAACTGACTGATTTGACCTGAAATCACATCCAAACAGGTCYGGACATAATTTCTCATCAACTACTGCCAGAAATATCTTGTAGAACATGACAAACCTTAAACATCCCAGAACAGACCCTGAGACGTAGGAACCCAAGGGAAGTCACTGGGGACTCAACAYTGCCAAATCAAAGTAAGTCAGAGCAGATTGAGGCATTAATGCTGGCCTAAATACAACAAGTTCAACAGTTAYGCTGTAGGAATCTGCAGTACAGGARGAAAAAAAAACATTCAGAGAAATACTCAAAAACTCCCAAAACTTTCTGATCCCTCTTCTCCAGACTCTAATCTCATTTATGCTGATGTAAATCCAGAGTGACTGCAGAGACTTTGATAGCATTTTCTCATTCTAAGGTAACAAACAAAATCACTGCCTGCACTCCATTAGTTACTGGCTTGTTAGAGAAACAGAATCAAGTTGTTACATTAACGATAGATGTGCTCTGTGGATTTTTATTTATGGAATGCAGAAAGCTCTGAGTTGCATCCTATAGTCTGCACACCCTGCAACTCGTATGTCTTCCCCTGACAGCTTGTTGCTGTTGCTCTCCTTGCGTTTGTCTAAATCTCTTTTGGAGAAACCATTCCATAACTGCCTGCAAGCGTGAGGAGGTGTCAGCATGACAAATCCTCCTGAGGACAATCTCAAGGAACTGGACAATGAGCTCGGGAATGCTAATGTGCAGAGAACAAGGATGTGAAGTGAGTAAATTAGAACAATAAAACCTAGGACACCAACAACCCTAGGAAATTCYGGTCCCCTGAGAATTGTTGCTATGCCACACAAATGATGGCACTTACATGTGCATGTCATCTGCTTACAGGCTCATAGGTATCCTGTTGATTGATTAGTAAATTTAGGTATATGTGTAYAAACCTTCAGTGTAAATAAGTTTTAAAAAGCTTAAACAGTAGAGCTTTCACCTCCTTTTTAATGTAAAAGCCTTTTCAAACCCAACACTGAGGTTCATCTCTAAGACAACACTGCAAACTCCAGCAATGGGTACTTGGTTGAACATTCCAACAAGATATTTCCTTCCAACAGTGTTGCACCAGAGTGTTTTTGTTAACTTCAACTCTTACAGAGCCAAACTTACAGGCTTATGATGGTGTTAAGGTGAGGACTGCAAGGGCATGCCTGTCTGAGCACAGCAGTCCTGACACCCTCTTTCAGAGCTGGGAATGACCCTTCATGTTGGGAGCATTGCCTGACAGGAGCTGCAGCACGCTGGGTCATTTAAACATTAATGCTACAACATGGTGAATTTTTGCCAGATGCCTTATTTAGCTGGAGAAAATATCCCAAGTCCTAAGACATCCCCTCACTAAGCAGTGTCTCCTGTTGATTACACAGAACCTAGTAAAAACTGGAAGAGCCCATGGTGGCTTCCTCTAAGGCCAGGGATGTCCTGGTTGGAAGCCACAGAGCACACAGACAAAGCTGTCTTCAGGGCCAAACAGCAGTGCTGACCTACAGAGCTTCTGCAAATCTGCCACTGAGCTGCAGCTCTCTCCTCCCTCCTCGTCYCCCGGAATATTTCCATTCGGATGCCCATTTCCATGACCTACAGAGACGGCGTGTTTCAATAAAATATGAACATGACTACATTAACTTAAAGGYTGCCTGGGGCATTGCTCAGAAATCAAACTCAGCTTGAATGTGCTCTGGGCCCAGCTTTGGGAATGCAGGAAGGTGCTTGGGATGAAACAGGTGCCCTGGGGACTGCCCTTTCAGCCCTCCCTTCCCACCCATCTCTGCCATGWGCTGCCTAACAGCCCTGTTGGGGGTGATTATCATCTAAAGGACATTCAGAGCCCGAGCTCAGCTTAGGGTAACATGCCCAGGGTGCCCTGCTAAAAGAAAAAATCCCTTCTGTGTCCCATTGCATTGGCAGACTAATTACTGTGAAAAAAGTGGTGTTCTAGGGGCAAATTTGGTTGTGCTGGGCAAGTCCAACACAGATGAGCAAGAGCAGGAGAAACCATGCGGACACCTGGTCACAGGACAACAGTCAGAACTGCCCAGGCAGTTGGGCTTCCCATTACCTGTGGTTATTAGGAAAAGCTCATGGACCCCCCATTCGCTTACACTGCTGAGCAGGAAGCCTTTCCCTAAGATATGGAGCCAGGACACTCAATTAAGAAAAAAAAWTAGTGATGGGAGACAGAGGAAATCCAATTTTAGTCTCAGCAATCCAACAGCTGCATAACCTCATTAGAGGAGCTGTGTCACTGCTCTCAGGGATAGTGACAAAAAGGGGAAGGTCCTCCTAGGCTGTCACGCTCCCTCTTTCTGCTCTGCTCCTCTCGTACCCTGGGAATTTGCCTCTCCAGCCCTTCTGGAGACAGATCTTTGCAGCAGCCTGCACCCTCAGCACCATGATCCATGCAGGAAAGGAAACAGCATCCATAACAGTGCCCTGCATCAGCAAGACACTCAACACAAGCTGGCAGCAGTTTGCTGATTTTCACCTGTGTGTAAAGGGGTTCGTAGATGTCCACACCATTGTCCTGACTGTGAGAAAGTGTCTCRGCTCCCCGTTTCCAGATGAAGCGAGCTGGTGGGTTGGAGTTGACGGTGCAGCGGAGGAAGACAGTCTTCTCCTGGTAGAAGCTGCCACGCACRTCACTGATGGTCTGGTGAACGGTGAGAAGGGGCTCATCTAGATCTGGAAGGGAGGCAAGGAGGGTTGCAGCCCTCGTTAGCAAAGCTTGGTCTGCACGTACAGCCTGCAGAGCAGACGATGCTCCAGGTACCACTGAGGAGAAGGGAAGCTCCACAAATTTCTGCTGATTTACGAGCTCCTCTGAGGGCAGGTAATACAACCAATATCTAAAGGGAACACACAGGAGAAGCCAGAATTCTCCCGCTCACCACACAAAYCTTCAGAGAATAGAAAGCAGCCTCTGGTTTGCAGATCCCCACGTAATCCCCAAACAAACCACCTGCCTGCCGCATGTGTATCAGAGCAGTGGGCTGCCTCACCTTCCACTATGGCACCCCCCTAGAAAAAATCACTAGTCTCCACTTCAGTGAGATCAGAAGGATTCCAAAAAGCTCTGTTCCATCATAATTTCTCCATTTTCCAGTTCCCAAATCCYTCCTGAAATCACGGGGCTAAGCCCATGGCTGTTGAGATGTTCATAAAAATGACGTGACAAACCTTMAAGACAAGGAATGAAAATGAAAAAGATCAGGAATAATATCAAGGAGATGAGATGGAAAGTCAACTGGACAGAGCAAATCTCATGGGGAGYCATGGGAATACGAGATGCAAAACATTGTAATAGGTATGTATAATTTCTCTCTCTTCCTATTAAATACCTTCTGTGTATTTTCTTCAAAGCCTGTCCCTCTTCAGCAACTTTTACTCACTGCAGCTCCATTATCCATCCCCAAACTGACCAGATTCTTTTGTTTTCTCCCTTTACAGAAGATGCTCTTTTCCATTCCCTTATCATACCTGCACCAGGCACACAGCCACTGCAATCAATGGCTATCASTGGCTACACTTGCAAGGACAGAAGCAATAACCCAGCAGGGAGAGGATTTTCTCCATCCACATGGAGCATACTGCCCGCCTAGGGCTGCCCACCTGCTAAAAAGGGATGATTTTCTATGAATTTGCAGMAGGTATCAATGTTTGAACATCAAGRTAGYRTGGGAGAAAYCTYARAGGAGGTGGATCTTTCYCCTCACAGAGYCACTTTGAGACTGAGGTTAAATGTAAAGGTCCATTTTGACAAGAAGTGTCCCTCTAAAGCTGAAATCAGTCTCTCTGTCTTTAAGTGTGTCTTATAAAGCACCTTTTGAGCTCAAGCTGAAGYGAATCTATATTTTCTGGAGCATTATGACCCCATCTTCATCTGCAAGGAAACTGAGGTACTTGTACYCAGTACCCTCTTGCACTGCCAGCGTGGTCCCCTGCACACGCTAATGTGCTCATCACCTCCTGCCCTCCCATGCTGCCTAGTTTTCACAATATTTTATTTTACAGATTTGTAAGTTTGGAGATCTGACTTCCAGAAAGGAGGAGGGAAGCAGGGATGAGTTTCTGCTAGCATGTCATGCAAACAATGTATGCTCTCTGCTGAATCACAAGTGTCAACTTGWGGATTTGCATCTTTTAATGAGCTGTATGCTCAGCAGACAGCARTTGTAATGGGACCTAAAATTTGTCTGCTTGACCACAGCTCAGAGATATGAGTGGAGCCATTAATGGAATAATGACAAGACACAAAAGATATCCCAAGAGAAAAAAAATCCCCAACAACCAAARAACACTCAYGGCTGAAGAAAAACATATGCAGATGGGAAAAAAAAGGCTCCTCTCCATACAGTGCTGTCTCCATGTGACCATAGGGTGACTGAACTTCACATCAAATTATTTTGGACCAGAACCCTGAGCACAGTCTCTCCTCTTTTCCTCCTTCTTTGTCCTTAACTCTCCTTTATTTGTTCAAACTTCACATAAGTGACTCTGCAGCTGCCATCCTTCTGAGACTCAGTTTCTCAGCAGGTAAAACACTTCCCTTACTAACCAAAGCAGCTCACCATTCCAGTCTCCCGGCTCCCARCTACTCCCCACACAGAAAACAACACCTTCTCTTTGGTTTCTAAAACTTTCCTCTTTTGAATCCTTCAGCTTCCTTTCATAGCAGTCAGCTCTAGGTCTAGTCCTCACGAGACAAGCTAAAATAAGACCTACGACAATATCCATGTCCTTGATGTACGAGTAATGCCACTGATGTCAGTGAGCTGCTCAAATGATAAATCTGGCCCAAGGCTGCTCATGAAGATGATCACATGGRATGTTTCACACACAATAAAARCTTGTAAACATTCATTCTTTCTTTYTCTTTACTCCTCTCTCTCCCACATGGAAATACTCTGAACAGCAGCATCTAACCAATAATTTAAAGCCTCACTGATGCCCACTTGGGGCAAGAGAGTATCTTGCTACACAGGTTAGTATTTCCAATTTAATATCCTCTTGGCACCAAAGATGCTCTCTGTGCATCTCTGTCGAATATTCAAACTACGACTGAGGACTAGCAGCAGCTGCCAAGGACACCAGGGTACACATAAGGGGGATTACTTACCTCTAACTACAAAATGGGATGCAGGAAAAGAAGGGGGTTGTTTTCTGGTTCATTCAGCTGAAGGTTGCCTGGCTGAGCGTTCAACAAAACCTGTGGCTTTTCCCATGTGTTCCCTTGTACCTACTGCAAACACTAGCAGAAAAGTCTCTCCTCCCCAAAAACCAAGTGAGCAGAACAGAGGTGCAGGACCAAGTCCATCTGCAGAGTAGATGTTAGTATGAGAAAGCCCTTGGCCACCCCATTAGCCCCACAGTTCTACAGGTCAGAGCTGCATGAGGGACCACGGGACACTACATCACTCTAGCTCCAGCCTGCACCACGGGAGCACCCTCAGTGCTTGAAGAGATTCACAGCACAGCCCTGTTCCTAGAGCCATAGGAGTCACACTGAGGCTCGAGAAAAACAATTCCCTTTGCAATGGAGCGTTATCACACGCCTCCAYCACATGTAGGAGAAGTAACAGGCAGAGAAGCCAAGCAGGCCTAGGGTGGGTGCCAGAGCTTCTCTAAACAAAAGGATGCATTGCCAACAAAAAAAACACTCATCCTATCCACAGTGGCTGCTGCTGGAGCAATCTATTTCCACAGCCTAGCCAGGATGGTGCCTACAGAACACTACTCCAATAAAGGGTAGGGCAAAGAAGGAGCAGGGATTGGAGCTGCTCTCAGTCACATAATATGACTGTGGATCATGAACCTGCCAAAAGCTAAGGATGCTCAAGTCTGTGGCAAATTTTGTGAGAGTCACATCACAGCATGGCTGGACAGCAGGACTAAAAGGAAGCAGTCAGGCAGCAGTTGCTGTCAGCAAAAAGATCTGCTCAGACYCCAGTCATGTACTGGAGTTTTGATGCCTGGAGTTTGTTCCGCTGACAGATAACCACAGTGCCCCTCAGCTCAGAAGGAAGGACCTTCTTGCTAGAAGGAGTGTAGGAATAGCTCATGACAGGTTCAGGGACAGTTTCAGCTGCTTTATCATACTTCACAACTTTTTAGCATCAACCTCTTGCCTTCTCAGAAAATATGAGTAAGGAGAGGGTTTTGGTGTTAATTGGCCTGGAGAAAACTGGAATAGTGGATGGTCAAGGACAATATAATGGTAATCTTCTCCAAGAAAACAAATCTCAAGTTGCCTAGACATTAAATCTTGGATTTCTCCCATATGGGCCTTCCAGCATAAGTTTAATTTYCCCCCTTTTTGACCACAGCAGCCCAAGAATAAAAATTAAGCTCAAGAAAAAAACATTAAGAGAAACCCTCATAACTTGAAGCCCAACGTAGAAAACTACTAGCAGCTTCTTCAGGACCTAAGAAGGAGGGGCACTGTGACCAGCCAGAGAAATGCTGAGTCACCTTCACATTCACCCTTTCAGAGCTCAGCCTCCTCAGCATTCCAGAGTCTTTGGCTCTGTTTCCACCATGCTATGGAAGCAGCAGTGATGGGAGCAGAGCACTGGTTTCAGCAGCACCCCCAATACCTGGGGCACTACCAACTTCAAGAAACATTGCTTGCTTCAAGCACTGTCAGCTTCAAAATGAAGACCAAGAAAGCAGAAGCCACCCACAGTGCCACATCCCAGACAAGAGCTAGGGAGCCCTGTCAGTGACAGACATCACGGCACCTGGAAAAGAATGACTCRCAAGGACAGCAGAGCTCTACTTATCAGGAATGGATCTAATCTCCTAGGAAAAAAAAAAGACCCTGGGGACACCACGCCAGTCCCTCTGCTCCCGAATCCTGTGCACGTGGTCCTAGGGCAATGCAGCTCCCTCTGGCCCCGCAGCGAGGCAGAGACATGCAGTAGAACTGTGGGAAGGTCTGGGTTGCCGCTAAACGACTTACACTGCACATCTACTCGGATGGACTTGATGGCAGGGACCCCAACCCCATTTTCTGCTTTACAGTAATAGCGGCCCCCCTGCAGCCTTTGGATCTTCTCAATCCGAAGGGTCTCGTTAAGCACTGACGTCTCTTGGAATTTGTCCGACGCGCTGCCAGCAGTTTTGGTCCATCTCACCTGCATGAGGGGAGCAAGAAAAATTAAATCAGGGACACAAAATAGAGATCCCAAGATTCAGCAGAGCTCTTCCCTTTCCTCCTTAGCTCTTTCCATAAAGAGGTTCTGCAGCACTGCCAGASTTACCAAAGTTCAACTACTGATCTCAGTATGTCTCAGCAGGCTCAGCTGCTGATTCTGCTCCATCACCAATCCCCATGCCCAAGAGTACAGGACAACCCCTCAGCTCACCCATACACACATGGCATATTTACCACTCCTGCTCTGATCCTGCAAACCCAGCAGCTTGCTCAGTTTTATGCCATCATCTGCACAGCACAGGACTTTCAGAATCCAGCCTTGAGACCCCATGTRGCTGGTAGGCCATGACACTACAGCAGACATCAGCTCACAGCTACGAAGCTTTTACTGCAGTCCACACTCATCTTTTCCTGAACAGCAAGGCTATTCCTGCTTTTTGCTTTTCTATGAGTGAGAAAATGCAGTTGCTATCTGACTCTTGCCCTTTTCCCACTGGGAGCCCCTGCGTATTTTATTTTTGTAAGTCATCCTTTTGCAGTACACAAGCTTTTCCTCTRTTTTTAAAGATACAGAAAAAGAAAAGAATCCCTTCAGATTTCAAAACATCTTTTCACTTCTTTGTCCTTGTATGTCTTAAGATCCTGGCTTGCAGGGGCAATGGAGCTGCGTGATATTTCACGGTGAATGGTGGCAAGAAGACAGCAATGTCCAAGACTGAAGAGTTACTCTACAGTGGAATGAGGTACAGCCCTCACAGGGGCAGTACTAACTCCCCCTTGTTTTATGCACTCCAGATAATGAAAGAGAAAGACAGCTTTTCCCTGCCCATTGGTTTTCTACATCTGCAGCCTCCCTTCCAAAGCCTGGTGACTGCCAGCCTCCTACTCTGGTGACAATTTAGACTGGGACTGAGAGCCAGCAAGATCAGCCAGCAGAAAGAAGAGAGACTTTCATTCAGCATTAGCCATAGACTATATGGACCAAATACCTCAACCACTGCCAGACTTTGCCTAAAGCTCACTGCCATCACCTCATTGATGCTGGTGCTCCAGAAAGAGCAGGYGTGTCTATATCCCACTCCCAGAGCATCAGGCTGAGCAGATTTTGGGAACTAATGACCATAGATTTATTCAGCCTCTGTTTATGAAATTGTCAGAGGGTCCCAAGACTCTCAGAGTCTCCTGTTTGGAAGGACACTTCAGCCAGCTTTTTAATCTTTTCAATCACCATCTCATTTAAGTATTTTGGCTACATTTTCATGCTTTAATGACTGGCTGATAGAAGAGAGAAAGAGAAGATTAAACAAAGGTTAGGATAAGAGCTTAGCTGGGGAAGAAATCAATCCATTAGGAGGCAAGGCAGAAGCAGGATGCATGCCACATTTTATGTGTGCAGGTTCCAATCTCCCCGGTCACACCTCATTCCAAGCTTGGGAGTCTCCTGTCTGAGCAACAACAAGCCTGAGTGTTGCCCACTAGCATGCTGTGGGCAGAGCTCCAGAAATCTCTCTAGCTACTCAGGCTCAAATCCCTACAACCTCCCAGGACCCCTCCACATATTCAGCAACCTTAGGCAGGGCCAGTGCTACTATATTCCTCATTTCTGATGCACACAGGTATCATTTGCCTATTACTGTCACAAGCCTAGGCTGGTTATTTTTGCTGGCTTGGCTCAGGTAATTTTCTTTTTATTGTTTTCAGGATATTCTCTTGATGGAAAAATCATTTCAAWTCCTCACCTTTGTCATCACCTCTTCACCAAGAGGCTCCTCACAAGCAAGTCCACAGAGGCATTGACTGGCATAAACAGATGCATGGCTTCTCACCACAAATATCTTTGGCAGGATTGAGGAAGGGGGCTAAGCCATATCAGATGTGGCTCCCTTGAATGTATTCTGATACATCCAGCCTTGCACTGAGCACCAGATGCCACTGTCCCAGAGCTGGCAGACCCATGCTCTGGTCCARTATYTCTATGGACACATCTGCACTAACAYTGAAGTTGTGTATCTGTGTATTCRTTGAACATCTGAAGGGAGCTGAGGAGGCTGCATGGGGCTTGAGGCTGTGCAAGCCTCTGGACACCCCGGGCAAGGACTGCAACCATTAGGTAAGCTCAGCTTTGTACCTCCCCACTGGACCGTGTCTGACCACAGCATCGATGTGTCCAGGGCTGCAAGTCTGAATCTGCCTCTGCTTGGTGGCCATAAAGCAATGGACAACAGCCTCTGCACAGGGCACAGTAAAATGCACTGCCAACAGCTCCCGAAACTCCCCCAAGCAGCATCCCCTTGGCTGTACTTCCAGAGAAGCTGAGAGGCTGATGGAYCATAAAGGACCTACTACTACAGCCAGCACACGTGGGAAGCTTTTTCTAGGCTGTTCCTACTTGGCAGTGAGAGTGTTAAAGATTTGAAGGTGCACTGTATAATGAAATCAGTCTGCTCTTTCATTTTYTGGAGGGACTTCACATAGTGAAGACAAGTAGAAGGTCTTAGTAAGCTTCCGCAAAGCTTTGGGGACCTGTTTTCCATGAWAGTGAGCTGAAATGCTTTGTAGCTTCACAAGCGAGTGTTTGCACAAYGGGGCATCCCTGCCTGGCTCCATCATGCAGGAGAAAGCTGGACACCCCACTGCCCACAATTCTCCTCTACGTGGACACTACAAGTGCCATGGGAAGCAACGGGCAAGACTGAAAGCTCACCTGTGGCCGGGGGTGTCCCGTGACCAGACACTGCAGGACCAGCGTGTCCCCCTCCCGAATTGTGTAAACGCGCTCACTGATGTTGTCTTCCTTCACCACGCACGCCTGCCCAGCATGGATGATTTGGGCCTGAGCAGGAGCTGTGGAGGGGAAAAAAGAGGTAAAGAGAGAAAGGAGCAGTACCCCATCTCCTAATGCTGCCCAGGGAGGCTTCTCCCACCTCTTAAGCCACAAAGGAGAAGAGCCAGACACTTCTGGGAATGAGTCACAGAGGTCTTAGGAGATATAATATGGAGCAATATTCCCCATTTCCTGGGTGACTGATATCAACTACTATTTAAAAATCTTTGGTCTGGTTGGGATGAGCAGCTCTAGACAGTGAGAAGCAGAATATGGAGTGTTTTTGGGGTGGACCCTCCTGCACCAGTTGAGACTAAAAATTTCCTGCTGTTGTCTCTCCCAGAGAGGAGTATTTGCAAGCAGCTATAGCAGGGACCTGGTCAAACTGGAACTGCTCTATGCCTGTCTAAAATAATCCTGATTACTATGATTTACCTTGCAGGGGGCTGGGATAACTACCAAGCAGTCAGAAAGGGCCCTGAAGCTCTGTACAGCTATTAACACACATCCCTAGAACAGGCAGAGCATACACTGCAGGAAAAACAAGTCTTTCCCGTACTAAATAGCAGCCTGTCTCAGCCCTGAGCCAGAGGGAACAGCCTCTGCAGGACCAGAGGTCCCCATAATCTCTAGAAATTTCTCCATCTATGGCTCCAAATTACTGCCAGTCTGGCCAGGAAAATGAGTGAAGACCAGYGCAGTGGAAAAGTACACAGAAAGAAATTTCCCAAAACAATGTTAAAAAATTCCATGACCCCAAACAGCACCCATATCCCCACTGCAGCCCTGATAAGCAGCAGGAAGAGACAAGCTCTCACAGAACAGGATTTTATAAAGAAAAAAGCCTCAGCTCTGAAGTTCTGTGCAAACAGCCCTTGGCTCCCTACTCCAAAGGGTTTGTGTGATCAGAGAAGTGGCTGAGATGCATTGAAGGTGACTGCACAGCCCAACAGGACACCTGAGCTTGTTTGAGGGGGAAACTCCCGTTGCACTTCAAGAAATACAGAAACCCACAAATGTGTCTAAGAGTTGGTATCTCACTGACAGTCCCCTGGGATACTTACCCAGCTTGCTAGAATGCTTTCAGGTGATTCTGGCATCACWGCTCTAGATCCCATTAGTGGAATATAACAAAAATGCACAAACCACTGAGGAGATGATCAAAGGGTTTAAAGCAATGGCCTCAGAGAGTCTTCTGAAGCAAGAATAAATTTTGCACAACSTGTTAAAGCTGAACCAAGCACCCACTTTTTCCTCAAGGTTAGCTCAGCTTCGAAGACTACTTTTCTAAAAATAATTTTCATTCATTTGGCATGACCAAAATGCTCTAGACCMAATCACCAGGGCAAGAGAAGCGCTCAGATTTTTGCTTGCTTAATCCACCAGCAGTACCAACCTGGGGCAGGCKGGGCTCAGGCAGTGGAGAAGATCTGCCTTTGAGATCGGCCTTTATAAACCCGTGTCACCACAATGCACTGACCAAGCAGCAGGGACATGAGAGGGGACACAGGGCTGGTGAGAAATAACTGCTCTTGCTGCACCTTACAGCCTGCCACGGCCACCCAACACCCAGGCAGCACTGCACATACAGCAAGCTGCYCTCTTTTTTCATCTCTTCTGTCTTTCCAGCATGCTGGTACTTTGTTAAAATGATTATTACTGTCCAAACAGAAGCAACATGTGTATTTGAATAATATGATGGCACAAATATGGACAAATCCCTCAGCTTCTCCCATCTTCCCCTTCTGCAGGCCTGCTGAGACGCCTTCCATCACTCAGGCATCATGGAATGCCAAAAGTGACTGCTGAGACTTCACTGCCACAGCTGAGCAGATGAGACACGTTCCCCTGCCTGGGTGGCAGAGARTCTCGTTGAACCCAGGAGAAAGCACAAACCTAGATGTGTGCTTTCACACATCTGTGTGTTCATATGCATGTACATGTATGGACGCACATACAGATATGTAAATACATTAATGAAAATAAGATTTATCAGGAAAAGACTTGGAATGCTTATCAGGAATGCTTGTCAAGCCAACAGTTCAAAGGATGGATTCAGAAGCCTAAGTAACTTTTACTAACCCACCTTAATCAAAATGACAGCCTCTTGGCTGTTTCAGACCTCAGATCAGTCTTCTGCAGATCAGCCATAACATCTCTAGCCCCACATGTAGTGCAGAACACCACTTACAGGGCTGAGACCCGGGATGTGATGCTGATGAATCCTGCTGAATTAAACAGAGACTCTGTCCCTTCCCATCTTATGCCACATTCCCTCCATCCCCAAGCTGTGCTGCCTGCATTTCTGCAGGAGCCCGGCACCCTCAAGCAGCAAAGCTCTGGTAACCTCTGTTCACAGCCTCTGGGCTGCATTTGCCAGCTGGTGGCTCTATTCTCCCTTTGCAAACATGACCTTGCTGTAAAAACTGATTTCCAGACACCCCATGCAGAATCAGAATATTTATCTGCAGCTCTAGCTCCCAGTTAAATTCTGCTCTTAAGCTTCTCTGCTGCACCCCACATGCATTGCAACTTTCACTCTTCCCTCTGTCTATCCCACTTCCCATTATCTCACCTGTGTTGTGCAACCCTTTTCTAACACTTGTCCAAAGGCATTTCCACACTGGGAACTTCCACAGTAAAATCATTAGGTAGAGTGGTATAGGATTACAACACTTTTGTGCAACTATTTTGTTGCCAAAATGCCTTGTGGTAATTTGCTGGTGAATCTCTGAGTTTGAGAGAAACATTATTTAAACTAATCCTTATGTGGCACTAGACTACAACAAATGACAGCCCTCGGGATAAGCCCTAGGGCCATAATTTTGTCTTCTTCTCCCAAATTCTCCCTGGATACACTGAGCTGTAACAAAACTTACAAGCAAGGGTATACACATCCAGCTCTGTTCACAGGTGTCTGAACTTGCTTTGTCACCATCGCTAACACCTTTCAGATAAATCACTGGGAARGGACATCACTTGAAGGGAATCCCCACTGCTTAAGCTGTAACATCTCTCTGGCAGTAAGAGCACCAAGTCCTCAGCAGAACAACCACCATTTTTTCACATCTTAAACCCCACATGAACCCAGATCTCTCAAAAGGAAAGCTTGGGGTTGATCTGGAAAGGAAAGCACCCAGGTAGATGGCACAGGAGCCCGAGACACTCCGCCTCTGGTTTGCTTACACCATCAGCAGGTGGGGGCTGAGCAATGAATCAGCCCAGCTCTTTGGGGACTGCTTTAAATCACAAGATGAGACTCAGGAAGGTCTCTGTTCCAAGCTCAGCCTGCCACAGCACTCAAAGGCTGAGAAAGTCACCTCATGCTGTATTACAGATGGGCAGAGAGACTGCAACGATTAATTGCGCTTTTAATGTGCTTGAGSAGAAAGAATACATTATTGTTTGACATCATCCCAGGTCTCCTGGAGGATTTCAGCATGCAGACAGTTTGGACATTGCCAGCACAACAGGATGGCAGGACCATGCCTGTCAGAGTAACAGCTTCACAGAAAGCTATCCAGAAGGAAAGAAAGGCTGGAGATGAAGGAGTTACCTCAGCCATTCTCAGCAGTGCTCCACACAAAACTCTCACACAGAGACAACCTTCCCTGCTGAGTCCTTCTGGGGCAGAATCTCTGACCTCAGGCTAGCAAAACCCAAAACAGAGSTCTAAGGAAGACCTCTGATGGCTTCTGTGGGGGAAGATGGGACAGATTGTTCTCCTCCATTTTTTCCCCAGAATTCTGAGGGACAGACGTGTCATCACTTTTATTCCACTTTCAGGAAAGAGATCAGCTTCAGGAAGGGTCTTAATACAAAGTCCTACAGAGAAAAGGTGCCAGCCAAACACTCAGTGTCAGATGCTTCAGAAGGGAAAAAAATCAGACTATGAATATGCAGCATTAGGCCCTTCCTCAAAAAAGTCTGGCCTGTAGTGCATTTGGCCTCTGCATCAAGATTTTGCTACTATGCTTTCGCTTGATATATTTACACATTAAAACAAAAGCAAATTGAAGTGGATAAAATAACTTTATTCCCAGTGCAGTGTACTGTACAATGTTATTATTACCATAACCTGGAAAGTTTATGAGACTCTTGGTGCTTAGAGGTTGCTAATATCATGAAAACGTATAAAAKGAGAGAGAAATGGTCTTTTGGAGAGGACTGAGTCATTTGTATTTGGTTCACAGGWCTAGCCATTCATCTTCTCAAGCCTCAGATCCCATCAGCAAAATGACAACGGTGAGAGCTCCTTCACAGCGAGGGTGGTAAGTGACAGATGCTGCACTGACACTCCCTTGGTCACTGCCAGTGCCCACAGGGGCAGCACCTCCCACCCCGCACCGCCGCCTTCTCAGCCCTCCAGCAGAGGCCATCACTGTTTGACTCTGTCCCACCACTACCTCTGCCATCCACACATCCTGCTGACAGCCTCAAGGATGAAAAACATTCATTTCCAAAGCTGCTGGGCCAACACCTGCAGCTGAACACGCAGTGAAGCYACCCACCTCTGCTACCATCCTCCTGCAGGATGGCGAGAGAGGGAAGCTGCACTTYGAGCTTTCCTCTTCCTCAGCCTGAATTTACCACCCTGCTCTGCAAGGCCAGCAATGATCTTCCACGCATCTGGTGCAGATAGAGTTCAGCCTTTTCTGCACATTTCCTAGGCGAAAAAGCCAAGGGCCTTCCCATCCTCATTTACAGGCTCCCTGAACTCATACTGCTGAGTTACACTCAAACAAGGAGGGGAATATCAGCTGCTAATCTGTGGCTTAAATCTCTTAAGAACCTGGCTCCTTCCCTCACCCTTCCCAGCCTGAGCAAGTGGCATGTAATAGATGCATCTTCAAGGGAGTTCCCAGAAAAGGGAAAACACACGGTACTTATGGACCACAGTGAGGCTGAATAAGCATTCCACTGAGGAAATCCACACGTGGAATTTCTTGCTGAAGAGACAGTCTCCGTCACTGCCTCTCCAGGAGCTGCCCTGCAGCACTGCTGGTTACAGACCAGCATG